GATTCTCTAGGCTGAGCAGGTTAGGAAGGTGGGGGGCGGGCAGAAGTTCAACGGCATGGCCCTGTGGAACCTGGTCCTGAGAAGTCACTGAGCGTTGCTATGTTTTGTTTTGTTTTGTTTTTTCAGTTCAATTACATGCATGAATGCTTCGAGAGGGTGTTCTGTGAGCTCAAGTGGAGAAAAGAGGTAATTCTGAACAACCTTGAGCTGGCCGTTTCACCTTTGTTTGTTTACAATGTGAAGGCCTCTGGCCAAATCCCTGGGACCCTCACCTCCATCCCCATCTCTCTGGGACTCAATAGGCCACCCACCCCGTGGGAGTCAGGACACTCCTGGGGGTGCTGGATGGACTGGAAAAAGCCCTACTCCCTCCCCTGTCTGCACGAGGCCATCTACTGCAGGCTCAGCCCTCTCTCATGATGTCATGGACTCTCCTCTGCCTGTTTTTACCAAGTCACCCTCCATGCTGTTCCTGACCCAGCAAGGCAGCTGTCCTGTGTTAGCTGTTGTGACCGGATGGGTCATGACAGCGTCCGTTCAGGCTAACCAGGAATATGGAGGTGGGGAAGGATTTTGCTCCTGCTTTGCCATCTGTATATGCCAGTGCTGGAGCAGAATCTGGAAGATTCTGAGTAACTAGCTACTTATGGTCAAAGAAAATGTTTCCAGGTTTAGCAGGTAAAGGCAGGAATGTGGAAATAGATATTCTTGGTACAGTAGGGAGAGACGCGACTTTGGGCACGAGGTCTGGATTCTCTCCCGGCTTTGTCCCCTCTCTGTGATTTCGGGCAAACCAGCCTCCCTAGAGCTCAGTTTTCTCATCTCACGTGTGTAAAACAGGAAGGCTGAGCCAGATAATTAATCTCCACAGTCCCTCCCGGCTCTAAAAGGCTGTGATTCTAGGCGGGAGGTTCTGTCGGGGAAGAGACCAGTCAGATCGAGTCATCCAGTCGTGCGCTGTCCATTTCTGTTTGAGGGCTTATCTCAGCTGGGGGAGATGTGGGCACCGGGGGCGTCCCAATAACCCTCCTCTTCTTTTCCTTCCAGAATATTTTCCAGATGGCGAGGTCACAGCAGAGGGACATGGCCACCTAGCCTTTCCTTCTCCCCTTCCCTTCTCTTCACCTTCACCCTCTTATCCCTTTCGTCTCCCATGCCAGACAGAGTAACCATTAACACAAAAGAAGAGAAAAAGGAAAAAAGTCATTATATTCAAAAGCCCTAAACTAAATATTATTAATAATCCCTCTGAATTTCGTGTCTCTGGAATTGAGCCGGTAGAAAACAGCAGGTTGGTCAGCACGAGGAGTCACTGAGTTAAGACAGGAAAAGAAACAAGCCCAACCGAGTCGCCAAAGGTATCTCGTCCCTTGGCCCGGGCCTCACACCAACAGACTCTCCTTCCTTGTACTATATTTTTAAAACTGGAACTATGAACTCCATCCATTTGCACTGTTCAGACATATATATATATGTATGTAAAAATTATATATACACAAATTAGCTGCACGTATATACATATATATATTTCTTTTTAAATTTCATATTGATGGCAGTACCTTTTTTAGCTTGTGTTTTTACACACCTTTCACTAAAATTCATGACTTCTCTCTTGCTCTCTTTATTTTGAAACAAACTTTAAAAAGGAAAAAAAAATATTTTACAGGGAAAATACCTCTCCTCGTGAAGGACTCGAAAAGTTTACAACCTGCTTGGGTTTTTTTGCCCCTTTTTTGTGTTGAGTGAAGATTCTGGCTCATGGGTTACCACAGAGTCTGAGGAGCAAGGAGCATAGTTTCTTTATCTTCCAAGAGGCTGTTGGGGAGGAGAAAGAGACGTGTCTCGGGCAGCAAGGCTTCGGGCTGCAGGAGAGTCTGAAGACCTGGTGTGGTCTCCTGATTCCCAGACAGTTTCCTGGTCGGTCGTCTCTCTCCCACTTAAGGCTTTCTAGCCACATTCCACATCTTCCTGCTTCCCTCGGGGGCCCCATCCATGGATGCCTTCCCTTAGCCTGCCTGGAATGGGGGAGGGTGGGCCCAGGAGGTTGGTGCCACAGGAACCGGAAACACTTCATGGTCATAATTTCCTATGTCCCTGCCTTTCCTGATGCAGGGACGGTACTGGGGACCAGAGCGAGGTAAAGCTGATACCTTTAGGCACAGATTGGACGTAGACGGGAAAGGCAGGCTCAGATGCCCTGTGTCCCTAAGCTTTTCCCCACGCACTTCCTGACCACTCGCCAGCCATAACCGTTACGTCCTCTGTGACTTCCTAAACAGCTCTGTGGGGAGGCATCTGTCGGTATCCCCACGGGCTGGGCGAAACGTGGAGAGGCCCAGTGGTCTGCGCCGACCCAGCCAGAGCCCATCCAAGCTGGCTGAGGACTCGGGAAGGAGCAGTAGCGACACGGTTGATTTGGGCTGGATCTCAACTTTCAGTTAAAGGGCGCTGAAGGAAAGACGTTTTGTCCCTCGAGAGCCCCTCGCGTGACCTTGTGGTCAGACTTTTGGAGACCGGAGCCCAGGCTCCGGGGCCGGGCTGGCATTCTCAGCCTCCTTTTCTTTTTCCTTTTCCACCTTCGAAACAAAACCCTCTGTAGGGCGGCCTCTTGGGCTTTGTCTAACTGGGAGGCAACCGCAGTGGGTTGTAGTCAGCTCCACTGAGCAGTGTTGGGTGGTTCGAAGTCTCTTTTTTTTTGTAACTCGTTTTTGCAGGTCATCATGAGGCCACTTTTCTTTCTGTCTCACTCTGTCACCCTGGCAGCCGTTGGCCCCAGGGAATGTAGGATTGTATAGGATGTGCTGTCTTCTCCCCTCTCTGCAAAACCATGTGGAATCAGTGCAAAGTGTCAGAATGCTGAATGTTTCCAGTTGCAGAGAATGACCCTTGACTTGAAGGCTTTGACACGAGATTAACTTCTTTTGGCCTAAATGAATTTAATAATGAGCCACAGGACCCTGGAAAGAAGATATGTTGATTTCTCACTCCAAGATGCTAAAGAGGCTTTTGACACCACCTTTGCCCTCAGAGTGGGGTAGGAGTGAACGGTGCAGGAGGCCATGGACAGTGCGGATGCTGCCCTCCGGATACGAGGCCTAGTGGGGAGGCCCGTAGGGTGGAGGCCCTCAGAGAGGGTGCACGCTGCTCCACCCTTTCTGGGTAGAATTCAATGGGTGCTTTGGAGACTGGGTGAAGGCCCCATAGGTGGGTGGCCTCTTGGCATAATCTGCAGGAACAGCCCCAGGGAGGGGCTGGACCACTGACAAGGCACTCAGCTGCAGCAAGGAGGGGGTGCGGGGAGGCCCTGGAGGACCACGGGCCTCCACGTGGCTGGAGCTGAGGGTCAGGCTGTTGGCATGGAGCAGCCCGTGTGTTACTCCTCCCCCTGGCCCACATTTCCTGCCCTGAGCCCTGCTGCCTGCCTTGGTCCTGGGTTCTGCCCCCGGAGGCTTCTGTTGCAGTTTATCTCTGGGAGACAGAAGGGCCCCCCTTTCCCCCTGCTTTGCCCCAGCAGAGCCTGCAGGCTCTTCCTGGTATCCGTTGTCCTCCCCTCCACACTCAGTTTCTGCCCTCTTTGGGAAACGCTCCGAGTTTTTTATGGATCAGGAGAAAACACAGATCCCTGCAGAAAGGTTTCCTCGGGCCACGCTCGGGGTCTCTGCCCTTTCTAGTTTTCTCCTGCTCTCCGTTTTTCTCCTCCCCTGGCCCTAGGCCTGAGCTCCGCACAGGTGAGTGCCCAGAGAAGCCCCGCGCCTGGCCCAGGTGGTTCCATCCTTTAGCCACCCAGTAGCTCTGGGTCACTCCCCTGGAGCCCCAGACCCAGTGCTGGGAGCAGCCATGCTGGGCACTGGCAGGAAGTGACATGTCTCATCTCAGAATTTGCCAACTGATGGCCAGGCTCCGAGGACACAGTTTCCTTAAAGGGGACGGCATTCTGGTTGGCCGGAAGCCCCCAGACCTGGTGGGACCACTGCCCCCTCCCTCTTGCCACCCATCGTGCTTCGGCTGGACTGACTCGGCAGTAGAAACCATTTGGTCTGTGGGACTCCAGCGCGCTGCCTGGTTCCTTCACCAGATTCATGTCACATTGGCGTCCTTTCGAGGGGTACTTACTCAGAGACCTTGGAGGCGGTGGCTGGCCTCAGCGCCCCGGCTGCCCGCCTCCTGTCTTCCTCACCTAAACCTGAGCACGTCGTGCGGGCCCCGCTCACACTACGACGACATCAGCTCTGTCCAAGCGATAATCTCAGGTGTGTGGGAAGCTTAGGGCTCGGGGTCGGCATTAAAGGGGGGAGGGACATGGGGAAGGCATTTGGCCGACGGCTGACCTTGGACTCCAGTTTTATATCCTGTCCCCTTTTTGAGCCAGTGAGATGGGCTTCAGTTTTCCCCAGGCCATGCACACTTTTAATTTATTTGAGAGAAACTCTAATTGTATTTTCACTGCAGTATCTTGTATTTTTTATTTGTGATTTAAGAAATGTGAAGAGAAAATATGCAGACACATAATGGCTAACAGTGTTTCTTTCATTCCTTGTTCTAGAGCTAACCACTCTAAAATTGTTTGGTAATGTCACTTAGTGTAATTAATTGTAACATATTCTTTTAAATAAATTGATTTATTGATGAAACTATTCTTTGGTTTCCTAGACTACAAATCCTTTGGGTAGTGTGGGAAGAAGCGAAGAGGGACCTTTGGGATTTGAGTTAGAAGGGTCAACCTGAACATGGGAGGACCAGCTGACCAGTTCTCCCAGGTTAGGGAGGCGGGAAGGGTGGGGAAGGAGAAGTGGGAGGCCCCGGGCTAACCTGTGCCAAGTGGCTCCTCTGAAAATCCCTTCTCCCCCCTCAGACCTCAGTCTGCACAGAATCCGTGTTGGCTCTCACAGGACTCCCCTCCCTCAGCCTTCCACAGACAGCCTGGCAGCGTCCCCTTACCCCTGGCGACTGGCATACATGTCAGTTTTCAAGTGACTCGGGAGACTTGTCTCTGGAATGTGAGCTGAAAAGTGCACGTTACCCCTGATGGGCACCAGCATAGCCCCAGGCAGTCTGGGGTCGTCCCCACTTGCCTATACCCCTGGGGACGGTCGTCCGCCATGCGTGGTCTTTGCCGTCATAGGGGAGCTGCAGGCGCTGCGACCCGAACACCCGCTCTTCAGAGAACTCGGCGTTCATTGGTTCCTGGCTGAGTCGGCTCTGAGAAGCTTAGCATCTGTGCTAGGCCGATATCTTGATCGTTTTTTATAAACCTTCCTGTGGTATCACTTTCACAATCCTGACCACATGCATTTGCTCCTTGCTTGAAGACCGTAGAACAAGGTCAAGTTTGACATTTATTTGGTTTGGCGCTTCCGGGAGAGACGACCACCTGGCGTTGAGGAATTGGAGTCTGATAAATATTGCCATCCTGATGGGGGAAATCGTTTCGCTTTAACGAGGACAGAATCCAGACGTTAAAAGCAACAAATATTTATTGTCGAGGGCGTTGTGTTAGACGCAGCAACAGATCCGAGCGAAGGAGAAGGTTCTGCCAGCTGAGCACTGAGAGCTTCGCAAATGTCCGTGAGACACAGCAGTGGAAGGCTTACGGGCAATAAGAACTGGAAAAAGGGAGAAGGGCCCCTCGATGAAGGCAAGTAAGGGAGGAAATGGTCGTGAAAGAAGCGGTGTTTAAGGTGAACTGTTTAGGGTGAGCAGGTTTGCAATAAGAAGGCATTGAGAAAACTATATTGAGCCACTGTGTGCCCGATGCTAGTCATTGGGAATGAATGGGGGGCCACTTGTCCTATTTGATTAGAACTTGGAATAACATGGAAGAGCCTTGAATCCAGGAGGAAGTGCTCTACAAAAAAAAAAGGAAGAGGGGAGAGAACCAGAGACGTTTTGTTGGTTTTCACAATCAGCTGTAGTTCAGAAACACGGATGTTTCAGAATCTATACAGAAGACCAATGAAGACTCTTGCTGTGATCCGTGAATAAGTGAGGAGGGGGGATAAGTGGGCATGAGAAAAATTGTGGAAGTAAAATGTTCTGTGAATAACATTGAATTTAGGGGAGAGGACGAAAAGGCTCCCAGGGTTTCATGTCTAGGTGACTAGAAAATAGAAATATTTAAGAGTTGAAACTTGTGGGGAGAAGACGTTTTTGCTTTTGACCCAGTAGGCCCACAGTATGATTCAGGATGGGTGAGGCGGTGTCCGGGCGTCCAGCTGTTACTTCTTATATGCTGGGCACTTTCCAACGTCCTGGGCTCTGTTTTGGGCGGTGGGAACACAGCGGGGGACAAGGCCAGGTAGGTACCCAATACCTAACTGACTCTGCCGAAGACAACGGGTCTCCATGGAGCACCGTTTGTAGGCGAGCAGGAGGGGAGACGCAGACAGGGCGAGGACACTGCTGGTGTCCAGGATGACCTGGACAGTGCTGACGGCAGTGCAGATGTTCCGGAGACAGAACCAGTGGGCCTTCACAGCTGGATCAGGTGTGAGGCGTGAGAGAAGGGCGTCACCAACGTTTGGCTTCAGCAGGTCCAGAGCGGTGCTACTTAACTAACGTGGAAGCCTGAGGAAAGGAAGGGCCCAAACTGAGTTCAGGAGGAAAAACGAGGATAGAAACATGTCGCTGGGAGTCGTTTTTTCATTGAGCAGATGAGAGAATGCAATATATCAGAGGGGGAACCCCATTTATGGGGAGTAAGAGGAAACTGGCTGACCACTCAGGGAAATCAACTGGACAGGCGGGCCTGAGAGTGAGAATCTTCTGAGAACCAGGAGCTCGGATGCGGAGAAGGGGGGAGGCTTGGCCACGAGTGGGGATTTCTTCAGCCACAGGTACAAGAAGCCAAGGCCGTGCAAGGCTTTGCTCATGTAAAATTAACAAAGGAAACCCTGCAAGTCAGAGATGCTGAGGTGCTCAGACTAGGAGCGGGCCCAACCCGAGGGAAATGGGACATTTATACATCTCAAAGTTCTAAAAATACAGACGGGGGATGGGAGTGCACGGAAGGAATTACCCAGGCCTTTCCCCTGCCATATTCTCATCTCTCACTGTAAGGCCTCTCCCCACCCCGACTGTTAGCCGGTCTGTGCCACTCGTGTGCCCTCCCCTCCCCTCTCTCTGCTGCCATCAACATGTGAGTGGCCACTTGATTATCTTAGAAGAAACTGCCGCTGAGTTTCCTCCTGCCTGGGCTGAAGCAAGGGGATCCTACTGTCATCATATCCTGTTTCTTCTCTGTCCCATTTTATCACTGGGGTCTCTCCTGCTCCAGAGAAGTTAGTGAATTTCAGGAGCCGGCAGAGCTGCCCCTCCTTCCCGCCCTTCCCGCTATATTTGAAGCCCATACAGAGCCTGAAAAATCTGCGTTTGCACAAGAAACTAGCTTGGCACTTCCTTTTCTGTCTCAGGTGGCCTCCTACGTTTTCCTGTCAAAGGACCTGTAGAATCCCTGCCCCGAGGTGGTTTTGTTTCCCTCAAAATACCCCTCTGTGGCTCCTTCATCCCCGTCACTCAACCTTAATTACCGCCTGCTTCTCTGGAGAAAATGTGGCCGCGGCAAAAGGCTTTGCGGGAAGGGGGACAGCAGAGAGCAGTGACAGACAGTAAATGTAGTCCTCAGGGTTTGTGTGAGGGGCTGCCTGAGGTCTGGGAGGAAGCCGGGAAGGAGGGAACTTCCAGTCCTGTTACCTCCCAGCCCCCACGTCCAAGGAGAACCCCCATCTCTCTCTGGGAGATGCCCTTTGGTCTAAAACCCACCTTCCACCTTTCCGTTCTGACCCAGAAACTTGCGAAGCCTCCGTGAGACAGCTCAAGAAAACTCAGTACGACCAACTCCCTTTGTCTTCCTTAAAGACTTCTCATCTCTGACCCCCACCCAGCAACACCTGTGTCTATTTAACGTTCGTTTCAGGTGCTGTGTATTCGCTAAGCATCCCGACTGGGTTCCCTTCCTTCCGAGTGAGGCCCTGTTCCCGATCTCTCCTGATCCAAGAGACTCTTCTTCCTGAAACTGTCCACAGATACGTCACCGTAGGATTTCACAGGCGGCTTCTCTTTTTAACTGCTCTAGTTTGGGGCAGTTTAGGAGAAGGCAGAAGTATGGGGTGGAGGAAGGGGTGGGTTGTGGGATTTCCTCGTCTCTCGCTCTCAGAGAACATCTCAGGCCTGAGACCAGATTGTGGCTGGAAGGTGAGCAAGCTCACGAGCAAGAACATGATGAAGGTAGGTAACAGGTACCTGCCTAGACGCAAATGGCAGTGTGCTGTGACGTCAAAGGCTACATCTGTGTGAGCCCTTTCAGAGAAGGGTCTAGAAGCTGGAGGGACCTCAGGGCTCATGCAGTCCACCTGCCTGATGGGGTCAGGCTACAGCCTGCTTCATGCTTCTTGGGGTCTTTGCCTCGGGTCAAAGGTCAGATAGCTGGTCCTATGAGCCGAGAGCTTCATGGCTTGGGAGTCTGACAAACTGGGTTCAACTCCTGCAGTTGTCCCTTAGTAGCTTTGGGTAAGTTAACCTCCAAAACTTCCATTTTCCTGTGTGTCAAATTCTGTCCTGTCTTACGGGGTTGGTGGGAGGTTAAGTGAGGAAATGCACATTAATGCTTCCTGATGGTGCTGGTACAGTTAGGACCCAGTGTCCCCACGGGCCGGGCTCTGGGGCAGCTCACCCACATGGACGAGGGGCGAGCAGGGGGTCTGCAATGTGAGGCTGCAAGTCCTCAGTCTTCAGAGGGACAGTGCTGGTAGGAGGGGCCTGCTGACCTTTCTCCCTCTGTGCCCAGCTCTGCAGAACCTTCCAGAATTAAGCCCCACAGAAGGGTGGAAGAATAGGGTCACGGAGCCGCCATCAAGGCCTGGACGCCGCTCAGAGGTGAGGGCTGGCCCTTCCTGACAATCGTCTCTCCCAAACCTCCCTCCTCACCTCCCACTTCCCCCCGCCCCATGTGCACAAACCCTACCCTCCACCTCCCAAGACTCTCATTTGATGCTTTTAAACTTTTTTCTTTATTTAGACAGAAAAGACGAACTCTTTAAAAGTAAAATGCAATAAATAAATAAGTTAAGCATAGAGAAGTGTCTGAAACGGACTCCCCAGTCTCCCTTACCACTCCCGCCCCCACCCGTTTCTTTTCCCTAAAACCTCTTCCTAAAGAAAATGATCAGGTAATAAAGCCCTTGATCCCTCCCCACACCCCTCCTCCCAAATACCCAATTACCCCTCAAAGCAAAGGGAGAACTCAAGAGAGAAAAAAATCCAAGGGAAACATTGTCTAAACTCCCAGAAAGAGAGATGGCAGCGTCCGGGCCGGGCCGGGCGGATAACGCACGCTGGTAGTGGTATTTACACGGAGGGGACCAGCAGAGACTGTAAACATTTTTAGGGGTTCGGGGGAGGTCTTTTCCTCGTGGAAGGAAGAGGGTCTCTGTGGCTGACCGGTGGAAGGCAGCCCTCAGGGCTCCCCCACACCCTCCTTGGAGGGGGCCCTTGGGGGAGGCAGTGAGTTTTAGGGCTGGGAGCCCGGGGTTCAGGACATCCTACCTCTAGCTGAGGGTGGCAGGGAGCGTGAGAACCAGCTTCTGAGAAACCCCTAAAGCGGGGAAGAGGCTGGGATGAGGGTGTGGGGGGTGGGGGGGAGCCCCGCTGCCCTCCGGAAGCCGCACGGGTAGACCAGGCCGCTGGTGGGGGGAGGCAAGTGCGAAAGCTGGGCACAGAAGGCAGACACCCCGGAGCCTTGGAGCCTGTTCCCTGCTCCCTCACAAAGGCCAAAAGGGCACCTGGGAGGAGACAGGCCCTTTGGGAGAGGCGGGTGGTAGGAGCGGGCCGGTGTCCGGTGCCCCCAGGGCCGTGAAGCAGCTTTTGCTCCAGCGCCCAATCAAGGCCCAGGGCAGATGTGCAGAGAGGGCTGGGGCCAGTCGTGGGGAGAGGGGGTGAGGTGCCCCTTCCTGTGGTGTCTCCAGACCTGTGAAGGAAGGAAACATGGGTGAAGCTATGGGCAAGTCACAGGTCACAGGCTCCTGGGGGGGCGGGGAGGGGTGGGGGAAGAGGCAGCTGGGGTGGCCGAGGAGGGCAGGTCATCCGAAAGGCCTCCGTCCACACTGAACCATCCGGCCCCCCAGCCATTCCACAAGGGGCAAGGGTGGAGGAGATGGGAGGGAGGGCGCGGATGACACAAGAAGCCAAAGATATTAGGGAGGAAATAGTTAAAACAGCCAGTGAGGAGAAGGAAGGCTGGAAGATATGGAGAAAGGGGCTACCGGGAGAGGGGGAGAGAGGCGAAGAAAGGAGACGACAGACAGGCAGGCAGAGATAACTCAGAGAAAGGAGGCGGCGCGTGTCTGGACAGACACCTGGAGAAAGCGAGGGGACATCCGGAAAAAGAAGGGCAGAGCAGGCCAGGGGAGAGGCGAGGGCCAGGCTTGGGCCTGGGGTCTCTGGGGGAGACCCTGGCCCCGGAGGGGGCGGGGTAGGGGGCGGCTCATTCCTTTTTGGGAAGGAACGAAGGAAGCCAGAGAGAGACGCACAGAACACAGACCACAGTCACCAACCACTGTTAACCAAGCACATCCCGCGAGCTGCCCCCGGCCCTGACCCTGGGCTGGGGGGCGCTTCCCTCCACGGCCCCCTCCCCGAATAACAAACAATTGGCTCCAAAGACAACACGCTTGTTCCATGCGACTTACAGGGGCCCGGAGCAGGGGTCCGGGGATGGGGGCTTCGGCCGACAATGGACACGGGCCCTGGGCTGGGGGCCCCCAGGGTGGGGGGAGTTAAGCAGCCAGGATTGGGGGGAAAGGGGGAGAAACAGAAAACGTGGGTATTGTTCTTGGGTTGTATTTTTCGGGGGGGTTTGGTCCAAAGGAGATTAAACAACATCAAAGGACCCGAAGCTCATGGCTCTGAGTCATGTGGTTGGGGTGGTGGCGGGCAGTGGGGCGGAGGGAACCTGTTCCCTGAAAGTCACAGGCAGGCCAGCATTTCAGCCTCCTCCGCCTGAACCAAAGCAGCTCCCGAGAGGCCCAAGGCTGGGACTCCCCCAGTCTGTTCTGTGCACTCTCTACTGTCCCAGGGGTCTACTGCCACATAAGAAAATCACCTGGAGTCCAGGGCACCGAGGACCTGATGTCCCCACGTCTTACAACTGGTATTCCAGGAACCAGTGATTCTAGGACCCTCCAGCCCCCTTAATCCTCAAACCCTATTCCCCTAATTCCACTCCAACCCAACTGAAAACCAGAAAGAGACAGACACACAGACACATGGACGCTGACCAGACAGACGAGACCAGATATTGGGGAAGATCTGGGGAGTGGACACAGATATATACAGACTTGGCTCTGTGGGGTCACAGGGTGTGTGTGTGTGTGTGAGTGTGCATGTGTGTGTGTGTGTGCATGTGCGTGCGTGAATGTGCATGCATTGCATGTGTGAGTGTGCATGTGTGTGTGTGAGTGTGCATGTGTGTGTGTGCATGTGCGTGCGTGAGTGTGCATGCATTGCGTGTGTGTGTGTGTGTGTACGAGAGTGTGAGACTTGGATGACACAGCTGAGGGAGCGGATCCTGTGGGGGTGGGAAGGCATCCCTGTGGGGAAAGAGGGGCCAGGCCAAGTGAGGGCCATGGCTGCACTGTGTGGGGCTGTGGGGCTCACAGGACGGGAGCAGGACCCACCTGGGCACCCTCAGTAGGGCCGGTTGGCATCCTTCGGCCGCTTCAGCTGGACTTTGAGGCGCTTCATGCCGATCTGGAAACCGTTCATGGCCTGGATGGCGGCCTGGGCACTGGCTGGATTGTCGAAACTCACAAAGCCTGGGGGGAGAGGGCGTAAGGCCGGCCTGCCCCACCTCACTCCCCTGTGTTCCTCGGTTCCTCAGCACTACCCTATTGCCTCCAGGTGCCCCAAATGCCTGGAGAGCTGCCCAGCACGCAGCAGGCACTCAGCCAGCAGTCCTCGCTTGAGTGAGCCCAGCCCACCGCTCACACCCGGGGACCCTCTTCCCCGTGTTCTCTGAGGAGCAGCCCCACCCGCAGCCCCCTCAGCCTGGATTGCTCTGAATCTCCAGACCTTAAATGGCTTCTGAAGCAGGGAGGACGAGACTGTTCCCTTTCTCCCCTGAAGCAGCCTTGCAGACAAAGACGCGAAGGCAGCTGAGCCCGACTCCCTAAGCCTTCCTTTTGGAAACAACCTTCCCTTCCTGAGCCTCTTCCAGACCTCATGGGGCACGGATTCAATCAGGTCTCGTGGAGAAAAGATGAAGCTGAGTTTTTCTGGAGGGAGAGGTGGGCCTGGGCAGCAGCTGGTCTGGGACGTTGAATGCGTAAAAAATGGTGGTTTTTTTTTTTGACTGTAGGACAATTTGGGTTTCAAATGGCAACCGTGAGTGCCTTCCAATGGGTCAGACTGTCCTCATTTGGAGTTGGCAAAAACGTGCCATATTTTAGCTTTGAGGTCATCGTATTCTTACCAAAACACTTGCTCTGATTGGTGGCCCGGTCAACAAAGACTTTGGCTGAGATGACGTGACCAAAGGGGACAAACATCTGAAGGATCTCTGAGTCAGTGAACTCCTGGGGCAGGTGGTAGATGAAGATGTTGCAGCCGTCAGGGCCTGGATGGCAGCAGGGACAGAAGGCGCAGCTCAGTGACTGGGTGACTGGAGCCAGGGCCTCTGGGAAAGCAGGTCCTGGGGGGACCCTCCAATCACGGCCCCCGGCATGTGGACGGGGCGCCAGCCACCTCAGCCCCACTCACTGTCTTCCCCACCCATGGGGCTAGAACTGGGCCTGGAGTGGCTGAGAGCGTGTCCCTGAGCCACGACAAGGGCCCCCCTGTCCCTAAAGGGTCGCACCTTCCCGCTGTTGCTGCTGCTGTTGCTGCTGGGGAGGCGGCGGGGGCTGCTGAGCCACCAGGGTGGGGGGCTGCGGGAACGCAGGCGCAACCAGGCTGTAGGCTGCCGGGTAGGCTGCTGGGGTGGGAAAGCAGAGAGCTAGCGGGGCTCCCAGACGGCCCCACCTGACCCTCCCCGCCAGCCCTGCCTCCCTGCCCCTGGCCCAGGTAATGGGGGTGGCAGGGCTGAGAGGTGTCCGAGCCACCCCAGACCCAGCTCTGAGCCTCCTTCCTTCCCGTCGGCCGGGGTCCTCACCTGTGTAGTGCTGCATCCCTGCGTAGGCCTGCTGCAGGGGGTCCACGGGGGCTGCGGGGCTCTGAGCTGGGGAGAGCAGAGGCCGGGCAGGTGGGATGAGAGCCTCACGTGAGCATGGGTGTGAAAGGAGAGGGTGGACATGCAAACGGCAGTGGGAAGAGGGGAGAACCGACATTAGCAAGACTCAAGTCTGTGACTGGCTGTGCAACCCTGGACAAGTGCCTTTGCCTCTCTGTGCCTCAGCTTCCCTGGCTAGGATTGAGCAAGAACATCCCTGCCCAGGACGACAGAGCAGGAGAAAGGCCTTATAACCAACCCCATGCCCGGAGAGGGTCATGGCCGCCGGCAATGGGAGTGGTGGCTGGGGACAGGGGAGGGCAGCAGAGACCCCCACCTGGGTAGGGGTGAACCCCGTTGGGATACAGAGCATCAGGGGCAGGCTGCCCGGCGGGCTGGGTGGGCACCGGGCTGTAGCCGTTGACACCCAGGGCAGCGGGGATTGCTGAGACAGGCGTGGCAGCGATGGCAGGAGGGGTGCTGGTTCCTGGGGAGGAGAAAGCAGACAGAAGCCGACACACAAATACAGACAACCACTCAGCAGGTGTGCACGCAGACTGGAGGACTCCAGCTGCTCTCTGACCCCGGAGCCCGCCTCCCCACCCTGCAGTGTGGTAGCCCCCTGACCTGCGCCGTGCCCACCAGGGCAGCCCTTCCTGGGCCTCACCTGAGGATGGGGTGATGGGGGTGGCTATGAGGCCGTTGGCGTTGATGGCAGCCATGTGCTGCATCTGCACGGCAGCCATGGTGGCCATGGGGCTGAGGTAGGCACTGTGAGCCGCCAGCACGGCCGCCTGCTGCTGCATCAGCTGGGGGCAGGAGGAGAGGACAGTGGGGACAGGCCCCCTGCGCCCCGCGCGGCTCCCAGCCCAACCCGGGGCCTTGGCACTGGGAGGGTGGGGGCGGGGCGCTGGAGGCCAGGAGGAGAGGGGTGGCCTGGCCGGCTGGGGGCAGTGCTCACGGCCTGAGTGTAGGCGCCGTAGGCTCCGAACTGGAGGGCGATGGGGCCGAACATGCCCAGCTGGGAGGCCACCTGCTGCATCCGGCGGAGACCTCGCTCCTTCTCCGTGTCAGCGAACTTCACCACCAGGCTGGACGAGGCGCCCTGCGCACGGGCGCCACCCCGCGGTCAGAGGGACAGAGGTGGGTGTCTCCCCACAGAGCCCGCGGGACCTGGCTCAGGCCCACCACTCAGGTATGGCCTGGCCTCTTTGGGAGGGCGGCCGCCATCGTGCCTCTGTCGAATGGGGAGATTTTAATCCCACCCTCACTCTTTGCTAGGCTGTGCAGGAGACTATGAAAAGCTGAGGAACATGAAGGCACGCGCTTGAAAAGGGAAGAGCCCCCTGGCCTCACCCCTGGCCTCAAGAGCCCGAAATCGTCCCCAGGGTGGGTCAGCCACGGAGAAGCTCTAATCTCAGGCTGCCCCGCACACTCCTCACCACTCCCGCCCCCACACCCTGGTCCTCACTCTCAGGGGGTGCAGCCTCCAATTTTAATACCAGCTTGCACCAAACAATAACCAAACGGGAACATTTGCAAGGACTGTTGTAAAACCTAGAATCTGGAAGGCAGCTCTCTGTCCCCGGGGACGGGGGCAAGTCCCTGCTAAGTGCTCCCCGGCCCTGCAGGAGAGCCTCTAGTTCCGGTTTAGAGGTTTGCTCTGCTGGGGAGCCCCCCACAGTGCAGTCAGTTGACCTCCTGCCCAGGGGCTGACGGCAAATGGGGCCTCTGAGCAAATGTCCTGATGCCCAGCCAGTGAGGGTGGGGGGATGTGGGGAGGTGGGAGAAGAGGTAGGAGATGGAGAGGGCTGAGGGATGGGGGAGGCCGGAGATGAGGGGGAGGGCGTTTGGACGGAAGGCGAGGGGCAGGGATGGGGTAAGAGGTAGGGAGATGCTATTTGAAATGTGAAAGTGTCCCTAGGAGGTTCAGTTCCTCTGCCTGAAAATTCTTTCCAAATGAATTCGAAGACCCTGTCCGGAATGGACTGGACAGGAGCTCACCGGCAGGGTCCGGCTGCTGTGAAGGGTGTTGATGGCCGCCTGGGCCTCGGCGTGGGTCTGGAACTTCACGAAGGCGCAGCCTAGAGTGTTCAAGAGGGAAAGGGAAAGGGTGAGTGCCCACCCTCCAGGCCCCCACAGTCCTCCTCCCCCCAGGAGCCAGTGGGGCAGGGGCAGGAGGGCCTTGGGAGGGGGCTGGGCTACCTTTGCTGGTGCCATCCGGCCCCCGCAGCACAGTGCACTCATCTATGGTCCCAAAGGGCTCGAACATCTTCCGGACGTCCTCATCTGTCTGCTGCTTCCCTAGCATCCCCACAAAGAGCTTCCGGTCTTCTGGGGGACAGGGCACAAGAGAAAGGCCACGGTCAGGGCCTCGTGGCTGCTTCCCAGCTCTGTCCCAGCTTGGCACAGGCAGAAGCCCCGCCCTCCACCTTCCGCTCTTCCCTGGAGCCCCAGAGCATCTCCTCGCCCTGGGGACCAATAGCTCCAGGGTGTGAAAGGGGTGGTGGTTGAGGGAGGGCTACAGTTCCATAGAGTGCAGATCCCAGTTCTGAAGGGCTTGCGTGCCACTCCGGGCCTCAGTCCTGCCATCTCTGCGATGGGCTGGCACACGTCCCCTCTGGCCACGCTGACTCCTATGCCCACCTGGGCTGGGAACCCCTCCGAATTCTGACTTTCTTCCTCAAGAAGGGCTGCCTACCCCTCAGCCACTCCCAAGCCCTGGGCCTGTGGGCTGAGAGAATGGGACTGGGTTCAAAGGCACAGAACCTACCTCCTCGGCTCTCGCTGTCGGCTGGCTTGACCTGGATCGGCCTGTTCATCTAAAGGAGAGAAGAGAAGGCAACTGCTGGGGACCTCCTCTGAATATCCAGGAGCCCTCCCCAGGCCAGGAGGCCAGAGGAAGAGAGCCCCAGGCCCGGGAGGCTCCCCAGCTCCCTGAGTCGCTGATGGGAAGGGAGCCCTAGGGCCTGATTTTGTCCAGGATTAGGACCGGAGGAGATTAGAGGCACAGAAGGAAGAGCAGAAAAGGATGCTCTGCTCGTGGGGCACAGTGCCAGGCTCAGGTGGGGCCCCAGACGACTGGGCCAGGGACAGGTACTTAGGGGGAGAGAGTGGGGCTGCCCACAGGCCCCAGGTCCTGACAGAGCCCAGCCAAGGGGCTGTTCAACAAGCGCTGCCCCCATCCTACACAGCAGGCACCAGAGGCCACCCATCAAGCAGCCTCAAGGAAGACTCTAGACTGAGGGAGACCCCACAGATGCCCCGACTTCCTTCTGACCCCTAGAGGTGTGTCTGCCTCTCTTTCTGCCCCCGACACCCCTTGACCCTAGGGGGAAGGCACTCGGGCAGCACAAAGGAAGCAGATGCCCAGTCTCCGTGGCAACGGGAGAATGCATGCGCGCCATGGCAACCGCCCACTCAGCCTGATTTATCCGTCCCCGTCGCCCTGGCGACCGTGGTGACGTCATCACTTGTGTGCTGCTCCACACACCGGAGGAGTGCGGGGTGGGGGGTGGGGGGGTGGGAACACGGTATGGGGGTGTGTGTGGAGGATTCGGTGGGGAGCTGGGAGGTGGGGGAGGGGCCCAGGAGAGCTTCCTGATTTTGGAGGGAGGGTGCTGAGCAGGCCCTTCAGGGGCCATACTGTCTGTCCCTTCTCCTGCCTTCCTCCCCAGGATCAAACCCTTGGTGTCACATACAAGACAGCTCTGAAGGATGACTGTCCCATGCTGGCAAGCCTCCCTGTCCCCGGAAATCCTCCAGGGCTCTCCCCTCTCCCCTGCTCCTGCAGTGTCTCCCTTTGTTCAGCCTCCAGTGGAAAGGCAGACACCCCAGTTCCTCTCTCCCCATGCTCTCTCGCCTTTCCTCTGGCGAGAGGACTCCTGCAGGTTGATTCCCTTCACCAGGGCGGGGAGCCTCGTAGGAACTGGAGAGGGAAGGGAAGGACTCAGTGTTTCCTCCCAGAAAATATTTTGCTGCTGAAGACTTTGACCCCTGGGGCCACACCTGGTCACCCCACTCCTCTGATGGCAGGGCAGTCCTAGTTCCAGTGACCAAAACCACATAAATTCACAGAAGAAACCATGCATCTACCTTCTGAGGGTAGGGCTAAAGTTACCCTCAGAGAAAGCAATGGACACCCAGGATTGGCCCTGCCGTTCACTAGCTGAGTGACCTTGGACAAGTCATTTCTCTCCTCGGCCTCAGCTTCCTTCTCTGTGAAATGGCTGGATCAGGCCTCTTGAGCCAGGTCCCCTCAGCTCTAGTATTCTAGCACGGAGCGCTGGCTGCGTAGGGCAGAAGTGACAGCTGCCCCGCCCCATCTCACATTGGCCCCTCCTCCCTGGCCGGTGTCACATTATGCCAGTCAGTCTGGCTGGATTGTGCTTGCGAGTGATTCCCAGTCCCGATCAAATCTAAGCCCCACCTCAACCAATACTGCTCCCCTGCCCACCCACCCCCATCTCTGGATCAGAGAGCAGCTGGTGGGGGAGCCAGTCACGCAAATCCTCTGGCCAAGCTCCCCCAGCTTTATCCACCAATCTGGGATTATCCCATCTGAGGTCCAATCTCCTCAGGGGTGTGTGGGGGTGGGGGGTGTAGGAAGGGGTGGGGAGTACAGTGCTCGGCCTCTGGTCATCCACCCTCCTCTCCTGCACTCTGACCCAAGCAATCAGGAAGTCCCCTGATTGGTGGCACCTTAGCAGACACACACACACACACACACACACACACACACACACACACACACGAGAGAGAGAGAGAGAGAGAACACACCATAACCTGGGGCCCAGTGGCCCTGTCGGGGGAATTCTCATGCTTGCCACTGACCCCTTCCCAGCAGGCCCCTGGGGATTTGCTGTTCTAGTTGGGGATGGGGAACCTGGGCCCCAGAGAGAAAGGATGCCATCCTTCCCTGCACAGGCTCCCAGGCACAAAAATAGCACATCAATAAATACCCACAGCTGATAAGGAGTCGCACAAAGACACACACACACACACACACACACGAATGTACAGACCACAGGGAAGGAAGGCTCCCTGATGCTCCCCCCCAGACAGCCTCCCTCGGTGGCCCCCAGCCCCCGTTGCCAGCCTTCGCCTCTTGGCCTGGCACTTCCTGTGGGAAGCTCAGTCTTTGTTAGCTCGGCTGGGGCACACCTGCCCCCTCCCCTGAGTCCAGCTGGGCCCTGTTTACCTGGCAACCCAGTCCTGGGTGCCTCTCTTCCCTAGCTACCGCCTGCTAAGTGATAAGGCCTCCGGAGGGCCTCCCAAAGAGGAAGGGGCTATTTGTACTCCAAACAACTGTCACCGAGACCCCCCCAACCAACTCGGTCACTTGTAAGGCCCTCCTCCTCACCAACAGCCAAGACCTCACTTCCCAGCCGAGCTCATCTAATTCTCCTAAGGGTACAGGCCTGACGCCCTGCCATTCCTGGCCCCAGATGTGTGCCCAGCATCCCAGACCACACACAGGTCCTCCCCAGGGGCCCAGAGTCCATGGCCCAGCAGAAGCTGATGGGGCCACGTCCCCAGAGTGGGATTTTGTCCCAAGTAGAGGGGTCCCTCACACTGTCACCTCCAGGAGGTCACACCCTGATGGCAGGAAGAACCCATGGACCTGTGGCAGAGCCACTCCTGGGCACTCCTGTGGAGAGCAGAGGAAATGGGGCTCGACCGTCATAGGCCCAGCCCCCTTTCTTTCTCTCTGCAGCCTGAAGCATCACCCTAATATGGTGGCACCTTCCAGATTCTGGGGTGACAAAAATGGGGAGAAAGGAGAGAGAACTAAAGGACCCCATTAAAAAAAGAACCCACAGCAGGAAGGCCTGGGGATTCGATGGTAGGAAGGACTTCCCAACACGATTGCGCAAGAGCTGGCACACTGTGTACACACTCAATTGCCTGAGGGGAGACTGCTGCCAGAACGGCAGGTGGCAGAGAGGAGACCTGGGGACACAAAGGGTCAGGCAGAGCTTGGTCGCAGACATCTGCTCCCTACACTATCCTAGCCCCCAGCATGGGGTCCCCCTTGGAGGACAGAACCCCTCGTTTCCTACTAGAGGTGCTGTCAGGTCCTGCTCTCTGTCCCCTGGGGCAAGGGCCAAAGTGGAGAACTCGGTGTCTCCTGGGAGCTCAGGGACAGGGCTCGGTGATCATTAACCAGGGTGCCCTCCCTCACTGCCCACCTTGGGCCTGATTTCCTCTGGAAGGGGAGGCAGCGCCCTGCCACACCCAGGACAGAGCCCTGCCCGAGCCATGCCAGCAGCGGGAGGGGGACAGACTCAGGCTGATGCCCCCAGCTGGCACAGACGGCCCCGGGGCTCTTGCCCACCCCCAGGCTCCAGTCTCCCTTCCTCTCTCTACCTTCTCTCTCACCCTCTGGTTTCTGCAGGGGCTCTGAGAGATGGGGAGACGACAGAAACACACAGAGAAAAAGCAGTGGAGCGAAAACTGTTGATTTGTCAGGGGCCTCCAGAGAGAAAAAGGCAGAGGAAGGAAAGTCGCGATGTGACTGACTGGAACCAGGCTTCCCAGGGATGTGCGTGCCCACACTCACACACCTGGCCTGTCGGGTACCCCCTCGCACGGGTGCACGCGCACACGGGCTGGGATCCCAAGCCCGCTCACACACATGCATGGACCTTAACTCTGTGAGCAATGGCTGCTGTGGGCTGCCAGGCTGCCTCGCCACCTCCCGGGGTCAGATAGTGGGTGACAGCGGTTGATTCGCTTTCCTAGTGCTTCTCAAGGGTTGGGGGCCTCAGAGGGGGTGGGTCCCAGACCCGTGGAGGGTCGGAAGTTGGGAGCAGTTGAAGCAGTTCTAATTTTCCTAGATCTCCCACCTTCTCTCCCCATCGTTTAGTGAGATGGAAAATCAGCTTCACTCCCCATTTCCCACATGGGGTGGGGGGGGGGATAGAGGCTGGGACAGGTGTGTCCCCAGCCCCCAGACAGCCTTAGCCAAGGCTTGCTGAAGGGATGGGGGCAGTGATCTCTCAAGAAGTACTTCCTGGAGTTCACTGTGCTGGAGACTTCAGAAGCAGAGAGCGAAAGCAAATGGACATCCTTCCCCCCAAGGTGGAGTAATGGTGGGTGGGGCTGGGGATGGGGGCTGAATTCTTTATGCCTGCCCCTGCCAGTCCAGGCCTGGGGCAATCTGCTGGCTGACAGGAAGAGACAAAGGGCTCTGGCCTTAGAGGAGCCAGGCCACACTTGGTGGGTAGGGCCTGGCCCTCCACGGTGATACTGCCTCCATGCTGCCCGCCCCGTCTGTGCTTGCCTCTCGGACTTTCTCCCAGCCCAGGCCTGTGCAGGCCCTGCTTCACCCCGATGCCCTGTGGCCCTGTTCCCGTGGCTCTGTCTGGGAGACAGGAGGTGAGCCTGTCCAGGCTCAGAAGCCAGCGCATAGATGCCAGGCCAGCAGGCCCCAGCGGCCCATCTCAGACAGCAGGCACCCCTCCCCCAGCTCCCAGCCAGACTTCCTCCCCAGAGCCACACAAGACAGCCCGGGTGCCTCCTGCTCACTGTGCCCCACACTTGGTGTCCAAAGTCTCCCCTCCCCTCTCAATCAGCTAGGGTCTCCCTCTAAGTGTCGCCCCACGGGCAGGTTGGGAAGTGGGGAAGGGGCTGCACCTGTGCCTCGCGTTTGCTTCCCTAATCGCTTCTCTCCAGGTGAGAAGAGAGGCGTGCATCTACAGCAAGAGTGAGGCGTGCTGGAAGGAGCGAGGGACTTCCTAGGGAGGCGAGGAGGTGGAAAACACACTCCGTGTCTTGGGAAGGTGGGGAGCCCCCTGCCCCTGTGAAGGCCCTTCTCAGCCCCCTGGCCTGGAAAGGCCGGGACTCACCCCTGGAAGCGTCTTCTGTTCGTGCAGGGCGCTCTGGGCCTTCAGGGCTGAATCGCGGGCACAGTATGTCAGGAAGGCACATCCTGAGGAGGGCAGGGGGGGAGAGACCCCGTGGGGGGTGAGTCCCTGGTGTTCCCTCCCTAGAAGGCACCCCCCCCCCAGGAGATGGAGGTCTGGGAAGCTTGTCCCTCCTTGCCACCTTCTGCCTGCTGCGGTGGGGAGGTGTCTGAGAGGGGACAGACATTCTGCTCCAGGGATCTCTGGGCTGATGACCAGACCCAGAGGCTGAAAGGCTTATGTGGAGGTGGGGGTGGGAGACGGAGGGCACTGGGGCTGTTGGGAGACGGGGCTTTGTGTGGGGGGGAGGACGAGGGGCATGTGATCGCCAGACAAGCGCGTGCAGTGTGGTTTTCTCTCTTCCTCAGCTGATCTCCTTTCCTCTTCCTCCTTCGCCTCCACCTCCCTCCATCTTGGTCGTCGTCACCCTTCTCTCCCATTTTCCCTATTTCCTCCTCCTCTCTCTCCAACTCCCTGGGAGGCAGGTGGAATAGAGGAGAGGGAAAGGCACTAGCAGGAGCCGGAAGTCCCTGGCTGGTGGAGGGGAGGCAGTGTGGCCCTCTGACGGCCAGTGCCTGGGGCTCTCCAAGTCCTGCCTGGGCCCCGCGGGCTTAGCCACACTGCATTTGGACAGGTCTGAGGCACGGCCTCTCTTGGCCTCCAGCTCTCATAACTTTCGAGTCCCCCACACTTCCCAGATCTTCACCAACCTCTGTCCTTCCTACCCTGCTTCCCAGGTCCATCTCCTTAGTCTGGGAGCTGCCCTACCCAGTCCATGTCCACTCTTTCCGGGTCAAGCGCCTGATCCCGTGTCCTGATCTCCATCCCAACAGTACCTGAGACCTCTACGAGACTCAGTGCTGCGCGCGCACACACACCCCTGCCCAGCTCTCTGGTTCCTCCATCGTCCCTCCAGTTCATCCACGACAATGCTCCCTCATCTCTGAGATCCACATCTCTGCAGCCCCCTTGACAGCTCTTCCCCCCAAAAGGCCCTCCTTCGTCCTCCCTCCGGGTCCCCTTCTAGCTCCTCCATCCACACTCCCCAGCCCAGAAACTCTTCGCCTTCCAGGCTGGCCCTTTCCGGCCACTCCACCCCTCCAGCCTGCGTCCGCCCTCCTCCCAGCTGCCCAGCCTCCCAGCCCCACTCCCTGAAGCCTCTCCAGCCTGGCCTGACCCCTCACCCTTGTGCAGCCCGGTGTACTTGTCCTTGATGACAGTCAGCTCGAAGATCCGACCAAACTGTTCGAAGATGGGCTTCAGGTCCTTTTCCTCCAGATGCCTTGGGATCTGCCCCACAAACAGCTTGATGGCATCCGGCTCCTTCATTGGGGCGGCCCAGGAGGAGGGGCCGAGGGGAGCAGGGAGAGGCCCGAAGGCCAGGGGGAGCTGCCCAGCAAGGAGGCAAGTGGTGGGGGCCGGGGCCCAGCCGGGGCTGGCTTTCCCTTGGGCCCCCAACCACAGGCTGAGCAGAGGAGCGCTCTCCACACAAAGGAGGCCAGGGAGTTGAGGGCTAGGGGTCAGGGGTCTAGGCAGACACTGTCATGCCACCAGGGGGCATCGCCCAAACAAACGATGTCCTCCCAGGGATTTGGCAAATATCCCAGGATGGGGGTCAGTGTGGCCGAGACCTGGAGGGTGGGGTGGTAGCAGGGGCGCTGGGAGCTGAGATGAGAGCTGGAGGTGGGGGAAAGGGCCTGAGGAGGGCGATGGGGATGGAGGCTGAGGGGTTAGGGGCCTGCTATGGTTGCCAGCACGGGGTGGGGGACTCCTGATGTGGGGCAGGTGGCGCTCTCGTTGGCTTCCCTGAGAGGACACCTCCCCTGTGGCTGATGCTTCTGCTGGGTCCGAAGATCCCTGATGCCAGATGCTCGATCTCTGATGGCGGCAGGGCTCCGGGGGTCCCTTCTGCCCTGCCGCCCCCCTTCAGGTCCTCCCCTCAG